TTAATTCATTTTTTGAAAAAATAAATCATTTATACCCAACAAGATTTTCAAATGACAATTATATTCAACCAAAAACATATTATTCTGTGACTAAGTTCTCGATTGCAATCAGAGGACCTGTGTTATTGTGAGGAATTATGGAACACGCTATTGGATGATTTCCCTTGATCTATTTAAAACTAAAATAAAAAATAAACTTTTAATAATTGAACAAGAACAACGAACAACACTTCTTCTGAAACTTTTAAATATGAGTAATCACTTGTTTTTTTACTTGTTATTTACTTTATTTTTGCTCATATTTAATTTTTGATTTTAATCTGAATCTTTACCTTACTTTGATGTTCATGTTTTATCGCATTTTTTATTATTTTTAAATTTGAAATCTTAATAAGTAAAAGTTTGAAAAAAAAAAAAAAATTATATATATAAAGTATTTTTATACTTGTAATTATATATGTACTATATGCATATATTACATTGTGATAATGGTAAAATTTATATTTTTGTTATTTATATTCTTGTTTTGAAGGGGCTTGGCAATAATACTGAATTTGTCTTCTTCTTGCCCCAGCCGTGTATATATATTTTATTCAAGTCTAATTTTGTAAATATTTTCTTTATGGCGAAATACATAATAATTGAGATGAATGATGTACACTACTCACATTCTTCATTTAAGTTGATGTAAACTGTATGTTGATGTAAATCTCTAACAAAATATATTTATTAAGCAGAAAATCTCTTTTTCCTGAATTTTTTTTCAGTTTTAAGAGACAAAGACATATTCATCATTAAAAAATACCTTTTAGCAAATATTCTCAGCAAACTTTCTGTTTTTTGAAAGTCCTTGACTTGATCTTCTGACAGCAATAATGCAGAAATAAACTTTCTAAAATATATAAATATCTATTTATATATGTTAATAAAAATATTTTCATTAATGTTTTGTAAATTTCTGGTTTAGTCTTACAAGCATTAAGAAAACTGTAAAATTTATTAAGTAACATCAACACATAACATTTTAAAGAAAACCTTAACAAAAATATCTATAAGAAATATATACATATACATATATATACACATATATATATATATATATATATATATATATATATATATATATATATATATATATATATATATAAATATATATAAATATATATATATATATATATATATATATATATATATATATATATATATATATATATATATATATATATATATATATATATATATATATATATATATATATACATATATATATATGCAGGCTTGGTCGGGAAGCGGGAGCGATCGCTCTCGAATACTGACCACGGAAATTATATTTAGTTGCGTAAAACTGGCCAGGTTTTTTAGTCGTTTTGAGAACATTTAAGTTTATGTACGAAACAAAGAATTTTTGTTTTACGGACATACATGGAAACATAACAAACTTGAATGTTCTCAAAACATCTTTGTGCGAAAGAATAAAAAGAATATATGCGAACACTAAAACCCGCCAAATTAACAAACAAACTAATACTATTGGTTCAAAAAATACGCTGATTAAGCGAAATAAAGTTCTAGAGTATTCTGTTAAAATGTTTTAGAAATTGTATTATTCACGATTTGTTACGTTTTGAGATTTGTAGAATTGTTTTAAGAATATATATTATTTGTTTACAAAAATAAATGTTTTAAATATATATTAATTAAATTGTTAAAATTTTAAAAGTTTATTATAAATCATGGATTTTATTAGTATATTCTTATTTTTTATTTTAAAAGAGATTGTATTCTTTATGTAAATGTAATTTTGTGTATTTGTTTTTTATCGTAATGTATCTTTTAAAGCAATTTTTATGATTTAAACAAAGACTTACAAAAATAATTGCGTTTTTAATGAAGTTATAATCGTTAAAGTTAATAAAACTAATTATGTAACAAACATATAAGAAGTTTCTGGTTACTAAACACAAACAACACATACAAAGTAACTCGCGGATGAACAAGCATCGCGCCTGAGGTCACGACAGAACACAAATATATAATAGCAAATATTTAGATATAAAGAAAAGTTTCTAGATATTGGTTTACTAACTCTAATTATTTTCGCTTAAGTTGCCATTCTTAAAACTCGTTATACTTTTTTCTGCTTTAAATACTAATTAAAATTAAAAAGCCCACTTACTAAACATCATTAGCGATATTGTGAAGCAGTTTCGCTTCCTGGTCATTAAGTGTTTTTAACTATTTTAGTTAATTTCTATCTTGATAATTTAATTCCTATAGTATTTCAATGATTTAATTATTCCATTTGTTTATCTTACTAAGAAGACTCGCTTCAAATATGTTAAACTTTTCAAACTACGCGAAACATAAATTAGGTATTAAAAAAATTAACTTTTTTATTTATAAAATAAATTAAGCTTAAGTAAAACTAAAACTTTCAAATTTAGTTAAATAAAGAATATTTGTTTCTCTTTTAAACAATCGTAAGTTGTTACTTTATATAATAAACATCGCTTAATTTTATAAAAAAAATTATAAAAAACCGATGTTTAGAAAATATTTGTTCTAAATGTAATTTATTTAGCTTAAGGTTTTTTCGCGTTTAAAGATATTTTATTTGCCTACATTTTTTTTTTTGTAATTGTCTCTCATCGGTCCAATTTATTTTAGTCGCTTTTTTTTTTTTTGCTTTTTAAAATGTTCTCAAAACGACTAAAAAATCTGGCCAGCTTTTCGCAACTAAATATTATTAACGATTGGTCAGCAATCGAGGGCGATCGCTCCTGCTTCCCGACCAAGCCTGTATATGTGTGTATATATATATATATATATATATATATATATATATATATATATATATATATATATATTTGTGTATATATATATATATATACATATATATATATATATATATTTGTGTATATATATATATATATACATATATATATATATTTGTGTATATATATATATATATATATATACATATATATATATATATATAATTTGTGTATATATATATATACATATATATATATATATACACATATATATATATATATACATATATATATATATATATATATATATATATATATACATATATATATATATACATATATATATATATATACATATATATATATATATACATATATATATATACATATATATATATATATATATATATATATATATATATATATATACATATATATATATATACATATATATATATATATATACATATATATATATATATACATATATATATATACATATATATATATACATATATATATACATATATATATATATATATATATATATATATATATATACATATATATATACATATATATATATATATATATATATATATATATATATATATATATATATATATATATATATATATATATATATATATATATATATATATATATCAGTCTAGGTCAGGAAGGAGTGTGATCACATGCAATTATATAAAATTACTGATGATGATTTTTGTTTAATGTATCAATTATAAATCTATATATATTATTGGCAAACTTAATAGTGTTTATTCAAGCATGTTTGACACAAAACCCTTGGCAGCCATTGCAACCAAGGTATTGGCAAGAAAGTGTCGCAGCTTTGCTTTATAAAAAGACGTGAGCAAACGTGTAACTTATATCGTACGTATGAATTCTTCATTTTATGTAATGTTAAAACATACTTAAACATATATCAAATTTTACAGTTTGGCTTTTACTTGAAATTTGCATTGCGTCAACCTCTCCTTAATTTTTGATCTTCAGCATTTATTTCCTTTAAAAACAATTTTTATATAGTTTTAAAATTTCCATGACCAACGTGCCAGTATGGCCAAGTGGTTAGCGCGCTGAGCTTCTAAACAAGAAAGCCGTGGTTCGAGTCTAACCATCGGCGACCTTTTCTTTTAATTTTTTTAGATTTTTTAAAATACTATAAAGGTTATATACATATGTTGCAATAAAATCTAACAATATTATACACTTTAACAAACAAAATGATTTTTAAAAAAGCTATAAATTCTAAAAACAATAAACATTTTAAACAAAATTAAAAAACAAGCAACCTGATGATTTAAACTTGCCACGCACGACCTTAACTTATTTTTAAATGGTAAGGGGGCTCAAAAAGTATGTTTTTAATAAGAACATAATTAAAAATTTTAATTTTATTTTTAAATTTAACCATTCTATAAAGTTTATTATTTTTAAAAATAATTAAAAGTTATAACTATTTAATATTACCATAATAAGAAAATTTAGAGTTTTACAGCTATATTATCACGCCCCCGTTAAATATTTTATACCGAATGCACAATAATGCCAGAATTTAAAAAACCATAAAAGTATTATTCTCCGTATAGTATTGGAAGAGCCAACTCAGACGCCTTTAATTTATGACACACTGTAGATGTGCACGCAGTAAGTATTTAAATTTTTTATTTAACTTTCATAAATCATGAAATATTTTTTAATATCTGTTTTATCACTATCATAAAAATTATTACTATCATAAAAAATACTAATAATTACTATCATAAAAAATACTTATAAATATTTATAAATATTATTAATATTTATAAATTGTATGTATATTTTATAATTGTATTTTATTTTGTAATTTTAAAAATCTGTTTTTAAAGTTACTAAAGTTTAACTTTTTAATTCAGTTAATGAAACATGTTCTGTTATATAGGTGTTAAATTTATAAAAGCTGAAGATGACCTAATTTTAGATATAAGTAAATTGTTTTTAATTTTTTATCGCTTTTGTTTTTGTTAGATATTTAATCATGTTTTATTTTAATCTAATTATTTAGTACAGTTTTATTGTCTGGTGGTGATTTTAACTTTATAAAATCTAACCTGAAAATCCAGGTTAGATTTTATAAAGTTAAATTTACTTTTAAATAATCTTTCAAATTTATTTCTTAAAAAAGTTACATTTGCTTTTATCTTCAAGTTTCTAATTCAACAAATTTTTTTGTACAGAATGTTTAAAAATGAATAACAATATTTATTTGATTGTTATTTTAATTTTAGTACTATAGCTTATCACATATTGCGAGTTTTAAATTCTAATTTATCTTTATCTTCAGTTTAAAAGTTTGTATTTATCTTAATGTAATGAAATTACATTTACTTATAGGTTGTTTAAATAAAATGTGTTTGTTTTTCTAAATTGTTGTGAAGTTGCAGTTTGTATTTTTCTGTCTTGTTCAATAACATGGGTTTCATAGTAGAGGGGCACAATCGTCAAATTCTAAAAAAAGTCTTCAGTATCTAGAATAGACAATAAGATTTTCACTCTATTAATTAAAGGGAAGGAATTACCTTTACCAAAAGTAAAGTTTGAGAATTTAAAATGGGCAGTGGAAAATACTTAACTAATTCTATACAGTGTCTCGAAAAATTATCCCAAAAAACAAGTTTTTCACACAAAAATATGTTTACACTCTAAATTATACTAAAACCAATTAATAGCGATACTTGCTTTGTCATTGAATAGGCTTGTAAAAATATTATCCAATCAAGCGATATTTAGGTAACTTTATGTGAAATTTGTTGAAATATTTTAGCAAATTTTTATACAATTAATAAAATTGCATAACAAAAAACTGTTTTTTTATATTGTAAAAAAAAAAGTTTTGTATAAAAAAAAGGTTTCATGTTCTTTTAAATAAAATGGTTAAAAAATGGTAAAATGGTAAAGGTCAATAGACTGATTCTCAGAGAAATTTAGCTGTCGATCTAGTCAATCAAGGTAAAACCTATCGTCAGGTGCAGCAAGAGACTGGAATTTCTCATAATACAGAATCCAATATAATGAAAAAGTATAATTTGATCAGAACAACAGCCACAAACGA